TATGTGTATATATATTTGTGTGTATATATATAATATATATACAATACATATGTGTACATATATTTGTGTGTATATATATAATATATATGTGTATATATGTGTATATATTATATATATGATATATATAATATATATATGTATATAATATACCCCATTTTTAGAGGTTGCATGTCCATGAGGGAGGTGAATGAGCAAATGTTCAACATTCAAAATAAGAACAGCAGCTACTTTGCTGAATGGCTCCCTCACAACGTGAAAACAACCGTCTGTGACATCCCACCCCTGGGGCTAAAAATGTCGGCCACCTTCATTGGTAACAACACAGGGATCCAAGAGCTCTTCAAACGCGTCTCCGAACAGTTTACAGCTATGTTCAGGCACAAGGCCTTCCTGCACTGGTGCACGGGCGAGGGCATGGATGAGATGAAGTTCACCGAGGCCAAGAGCAACATTAATGACCTGGTGTCAGGATACCAGCAATACCAAGACGCCACAGCTGAGGAGGAGGATTTTGAGGAGTGTGCTGAGAAGGAGGAGGTAGCCTAGAAGATTCCTTTTCTAGGTAAAGGGAGAAGCAGTGTGGATTCTTTAGTGTGTTCTGATAGCCATTGTCACTACACACTTCTTTGAGTCTTTACATCTCCTCCTACTGCATTTTAAAGCACTTTCATAGTAAGTAGTTTGGCCTAATAAAACATTTTTATAGCAAAAAAAAATAAAGAAAAAAAAATAAATATAATACATATATTTATACCTCTAAAATATAATATATATAAAATATATATTATATATAATATATAAAATATATAAAATATATATTATACATATATATAATATATAATATATATTATATATAATATTTATATATAATATATTTTATATATAATATTTATAATATATATTTATTATATATTAAATTATATATATATAATATTTATTATATATTAAATATAAAATTTATTATATATTAAATTTTATATATAATATATATTCTAATTGTTCAAACTCCCTAAAGAAAACTTTCTCTGAATCCCAAGCCTATATTTGATTTTCCCAGCAAATTATTCTCAGATCTCTTCATCACTTTCTTTCATAATCTCATCAGAGTTAACAATTTTATTTTTACATAAATAATTTATTAACATCTTCTCCTCCACTCTGCTGTAAGATCTATATGAACTTGTCTTGATGGCATCCCACTATTCTATATGTAAGGCGCTTAGTATGAGAACTGCCACACACGTGGGTGGTTACACATTCTGTTAAGTGAGAACAGTAAAGGCTTATGAATATTGCCTGGCTTAATTCTTAATAACGTTTTCTTGATTGTTAATAGTACTCTCTTAAAATTTTTCTGATGTGGATTGTACCATAAAGTTACTCTTCATGTACAGAATTCCAATAATCTTTGTTGGATGTCTCACTTCTTTTTAAGAAGGATTTTTTCCACCTAAGTCTCTTTGTTCCTCCATGTAAAGTGATTCTACTCTAGAAATATTGTGAAGTGTCTGAATGTGCAACAGTTGTTCAGCTCAGAGTGTCGTCCGTGCCACATACACACTGAAAATGGTTAAGGTCAGCAAGCTCTACATTTAAAGATGTTTCAAGTTCCCGTTGCCATCACAACTTAAAATTTCTTCAATGTGTATTTCAGATACAGGATCCCTCACAGCATTTGTTCGTGCATGCTATGTCAGCAGTCATGCCTTCAGTGAGATTTGGGCTGTTTAACACATGGTTTAAAAGCATAGGCTCCCAGTTCTTATTTTCGTGGAATTATGACATAAGGAACTTACCAATGCAACAACCATAACTAGAAACAAATTCCTTCAAAAAATAAAATAAACTACTTAGAATGTATAGAAATTATCTTAAGATCAAAGAAAAATTAAGTTTTTTTAAATCTACTAAATATCAGTAAGAGCCGCAAGAATCTATAGCACTTAAGAGACTATCTGCTCCTTTTCTCCCCAGTTCCCCCAGTTCAGTGTAATAGAAGTTCCACTCTTGGCAGATGTTGTTGGGAAGATGGGGCTCCCTCTCCTCCAGACCCCAGTTAAAAGCTATACTATCTCACTGGGAGGAGCTGTGTGCCCATGATTCTCATCCCTCCCTAACCCATGTTACAAAAGCTAAATTCCAGGTAGGTGCAACTGAGAGAATAGGAGCAGCCTTCTAGTACACAATCCCTTTTCTCAGGTAGGAGGCTCTACCCACAGGCAACAAACTGAGGATACTGATGATCCAATCAGCCTCAACATAGCTTATTCATGTGGCAGCAAGCAGTTCCGCACCAGCAGTGACAAAGTGAAAAGAACAGAGGCTAATATCACTATCCAGCATTATGCTCATCAAACGTTAAGTGTCACTCTAAGAAAAGCTCATTACTTTCCCTACCACCAGCAATGGCTCAGAGATTTTGCCCAGGGTAGAGAAATCAAGCCATAAGAACAGAGATTTCCAAAGCTTTTAACAAGGGAATTGCCTTTATTTGCAAGAGTGTGGAGAATTTCAAGCCTAAATACACTCTTAAATGCAAAGAGAATTAAGTGCTAAAGAATTAAGAGAAGAATAATAGATCTATGAGAACAAGCTAAACCTTAGGGTTTCTGCTTTACAGGAGATAACTGGGGAAAGATATGGCTATGAAGAGCTATGCTGGTGTCAGAACAAACCTCAAATACAGACTTCAGGAACTAATTATGCAAAGGGCCTGAGATTAATTGGATCAGACTGTGGAGAATTTATGCCTCAGGACATTGTCAGAAAGAATAAAGCAAACAACCAGCAATTAGTGGAACCTAATGGGTAGGGTGTGATATCAACAGAGGCAAACAGCATAACAGAGAGATTACAGAAAAAGAGAGTGAAATAACTCCTGCTAAAAGTCATTGTCATCTCAGAATGACCACACATGTCCAAAGCTCCATGCTCTAAAAAGTGACACAGGTCTTACACTGCGAAGGATAGACACTTCACAAAAATACTACATCCAAGTTAAGAAACCAATAAGAAAGTAATAAACAAAACAAAAACACAAACAAAATACAGCACACTCAGGAAGGGGCATAGGCAAGTATCAAAAGTTGGAATATGATATTGCCTAAAATGTTCAATTTCCAACGCAAAGAGGTATGAGACATGCAAAAAAACAGGAAATTTTGATCCATCCACAAAATAAAGGAGAAAATATAAATTGTTGGTGAGGGTGCCCAGATAGCCAACTTAACAAAAACTTCAAGGAAGCCATTATAAATACAAACAACTAAACAACAACAACAACAAAACAACAAAAAAAACCCCATGATTTAAAAAGGTGTGAAAATATTGTTTTATTAAGTGTAAATATCAAAGATGAATAAATTATAAATAAAAACCAAGTGGAAATTCTATTATTGGAAAATGCAATAACCAATATAAAAATATAATAGTATTTTTTAGCCTAGTTTTCAATAGAATGGGATGAAAAATAGACTTGAATTGGGAGAAAAAAAAGCATCAGAAAGCTTGAAGGTAGACCTATAGAGATTATGCATTTTGAAGAATAAAAAAAAATAATGAAGAAAACAGGGAAAAGAGACTCAGATGAACATACATGTAATAAGCGTATTAGAAGGAAAAGAGAACGCAGAAGGGAATATAAAAATCTTTAACAAAGTAATAATTAAAAACTTCCAATATTTGATGAACAAGATTAATGTATATATCTAAGAAGTTCAAGAGACTCCAAAATAAATTAAAAGGAAAAGATCCACAGTCAAGCATAGCATTGTCAAAAATTTGAAAGCCAAAACAAAAGTCTTAAAATTATCAAGAGAAAAATGATTTAACACATACAAGTCTTAAATGAGGTACAAGAAACCTCAATAAGTATAAGAGCTGAATTCTCATCAGAAGCAATGGATGCCAGGAAGCCAGGAGAACAACATGTACCAAGTGCTGAAAGAGAGAAAACAAATGTCCAGGGAAAATCACATGTCCAGGGAAATTATCACTAAAAATGAAAGCAAAATAAACAGATGACCAGGATTGATAATTTGCAGCTAACAGACCTGCCTTAGAGGAAATACTAAAGGAAATTCTTCGGACTGAAAGCAGGTTATGTCAGATATAATTTGAATCACATAAAGAAAGAATACAATAAATGTAATTATGTAATTACAGAAGACGTTTTAAATTGATATTTCTTTTCATTTATTATTTTAACTGATTTGAAATGTAAATATGGAAAACAATATGTATATATTTTATAGTTGAATCTGTAATATATAGAAATGTAATGTATGTATGACATAAATATCACACAGAGTTGAAGGGGAGCATAGCTGTATTGAAGGAAGAAAATAACACCTGAGGGTAGCTTGAATCCACAGATCAAATCAAGGGAGCCAAAAAATGATCCATAATAAACTGTCTATAACATATACTTGATTTTCTTTCTTCTCACAACTTTTTTAAAAGATATATAAACTATATAAAATTTATAATTATAACAACATACAATTATTAATATAACATGCAAAATATATGCTCTATGAGGTTAAAATGTGAACTAAAACATTGGCACAAGACAAAGAAAATATAAATGTATAGCATTTATGTTTTTATATCTTACTGACTCCAAATTAGTATAAATCTAATGTAGAGCTTAATAAAGAAATAGTTCAAAAGCATACTGAATGAATCATTAAAGATATTAAAATGTTACACTAGAAAACCTTAACATGTGCAAATGAAAGCAATAAAAGAAGAATAGAGGAACAAAGAAAGTGTGTAACATGTAGAACACAGAAGTGACATGAAGACATAAATCCAAATACAACAATAATAATAGTAAATGCAAATGCTTTAAATAATAGGATCAAAGGACAAAGACTGTCAGATTGGATTAAAAAAGAATAATAACCAATTATTACAGGAGTCACACATTAGATTCAAAGATACAAAGAGTTTGAAAGTAAAGAATGAAAAAAGATATATATGCAAATAGCAACCTTAAGAAATCTGGAGTGGCTCTACTAGCACCAGACTAGACTTTAAAACAAAAGATGTTACTAGAGATGAAAAGAGACATGTTACAATGATAAAATGAGCAATCTATCAAAAAGATGTCACAATTATAAACAATTATTTAAAGAATTTAAGGTAAAAATAGATAGGTCTATGATAAAAGTTGGAAATTTTAATACATAATTTTTAATAACGAATAGAAAACTTGAACAATATTAGAACAAAGTATTGAACAATATAACTAGACCTAACAGACATCTACAGAATTCTCTACTTAACACTAGCAGAATACACACTCTTTTTAAATACACATAGAACAGTCTCCAGAATAGACCATATCCTAAGTCATAAAACAAGCCTCAGTAATTTAAAATAATTAAAATCATGAAAAGGATGATTTGCAACCACAATGGCATAAAATTATAAATCAATGACAAAAAAAATTGAGAAATTGAAAAGTAGGTGAAAATTAAACCACACATTCCTACGTAACTAATGGATGAAAAAACCCACAAGAATATAAAAAGTATGGACGTTTGTGGTGGTTCACGCCTGTAATCCCAGCATTTTGGGAGGCTGAGGAAGGGGGATCAGGAGGTCAGGAAATGGAGACCATCCTGGCCAACATGGTGAAATTCCGTCTCTCCTAAAAATACAAAATTTAGCCGGACGTGGTGATGGGTGCCTCTAGTCCCAGCAACTCGGGAGGCTGTGGCAGGAGAATCATTTGAACCCGGG